CATACGCGCGCTCTGCGATATCTAAAGAGAAAATATAGCGTGTGTACAAGCTAGATAGCCCGTAGCTAGTGGATTTTGCAATTGGGCTTGTGAATTTTTCTGTTCTTGACTTGCCCGACGGGCAAGTGACGTTTTTTGGGGGATTACAAAAGCGCTGTTAGTAAGACAAATTGTTTAAATTCCTAATAAATTCATGTGGAGCAAAAGCTGTTCGTCAAGCTGATCTAAGGAAGTAAAATTATTTCCCTTGTTGTTACTATGAATTAATAAAGCGATTAATTAATTAATGGTTTAATTAATTATTAATGAATAATGATTATTAATCTTGTTTATGAAAAATTTTGGGGGGGCCAGTTGAAATGACTCTCGGGCTAGTACGTGCTAGATGAAAAAATGACTTTCTTTGCACCCTAAGTGTTAGCTCAGTTGATCAATCACATTTCCTAAGTTACTTCAGCTTTACTTTTTGGGCCTGTTACATCCTCACCTCTTGAGTGAAGTGTGGGCATGGTGAAAAGCAAAGGTTATACGCTTTAGTTCTCACTGTATAGAGAAGAGAAGTGATGACATCACAAAAACTAAATTTGAGAAATTATGCGATAGGTTGGCATGTCCAGAAAGAACAAAATGAAAAATGTCTCCTTGCCAAAATTCATCCTGTTAGTGCAATTAATTAGTGAGGAGATATTAGCGCAGGTTCGCTCTGAGCGCTCCATAGAAATCCTTCTAAGATTGGCTTGGATTGTAGACGTTAAGATGCAGTCTATTTAAGAAGGATTTGTTTGGAGTCATCAGAGTTAACCGGTGCTTATATATGTTGTAGTTAATTTTTTATTTCAGTTAATTTTTATTTTTCCATTGTTTTGGGGTATGGTAATGTATGCTAATGAATTTAAAAGAAAGGAAAAACAAAAATTAACTGAAATTAAAAATTAACTGCAACATATACCTCCCTGCCAATTTGCACTAACAGGGTGAATTTTAATAAGTGGACATTTTTCATCTTGTTCTTTGGTCCAATTTACATGAACGTATTTTAATCATCAACTGATTGTACTTTTCCTTAGGAATGCAGGTCTCGATGTGCTCAATTAGAAGAGCAAATGGAAGAGGTATTTGTTATAAACTTACATATCCTGGTGTGTTATTATGTCCATCTTCTTACTTGATGATTATAAGTAAAATTATTTCCCCTTTTGTTACTACGAATTAATAAAGCGAGTAATTAATTAATGGTTTAATTAATAATTAATGAATAATGATTATTAATCCTGCTCATCCAAAATTTTGGGGGGGCCAGTTGAAATGACTCTCGGGCTAGTACGTGCTAGATGAAAAACTGACTTTCTTTGCACCCTAAGTGTTTGCTCAGTTGATCAATCACGTTTCCTTAATTACTTCAGCTTCACTTTTTGGGCCTCTTGCATCCTCAGCTTACGAGTGAAGTGTGGGCATGGTGGAAAGCAAAGGTTATACGCTGTAGTTCTCAGTGTGTAGCTTTATCTTAGTTAAAACCTCCTTTTCCCTGTTCATTTAACAGAAGCTTAAAAGTGTTCCAAACGACTAGAAATTTTCTTTACACTCACCGATAGTTTACTTGTAAAACAGAGTGAGCCATTAATAAAGTACCATAACAAAGGTACCTATGCCCTAAAGTGAGGCCGTAAGGTACCATGTAAAGCAGAAGCTTACAAGAGTGCTAAGTATGTTCCATGCAACACCCGTAAGTGTACCCATAAGGATTCGTAAGTGCCTTACTTAAGGTTTTAAACAGCCTAGGCCAAGGTCTTTTCAAGCACGTCGTTGCGTCTTGCTCTGTTTTTAGTGTCTGGGAACACAGATCGCCTCGTTCTTTCGTACTATGTTTTCCATTATTTAGAGGTAATAACTTTCAGAAAACTTACAGCTAATGTCAGTCGAAGTGTGTAATATAGGATATCTCTAGACTTAACCAAACGATTCACGTAGTTAAAATGCATTTGAAGCTAACAATACAGCTACACTTCTTGTGCATCTTATTAAGAGCTCGGGTCTTCGGGAAAACTAAGTCAGGAATTTCTAGCGAGAACTGATTATAAATTGCCTATTTGATTATTGGTTTGACAGATGATATGCTGCCCTCTACCCAACTGAGGCTAACCGGTTAATAAAGGATTGATTGTAGTAAGATATTTCTTACTTGATTGTTTTTTACTACTTTATGTATTTTGTAGAGAGGAATTGAAAACGAATCGTATGCTATACGCATAAGTAACCTTCAAAGGAGATATGAAGAGGTGAGGAGAGACGACTAGTCGTGGACCTTAACCAATTATCTTAGTCCACCTTTTTATCGCTAAATTCTTGAACTCAGTTCGTTTGTTTTGTGCGTGTGTCTCTTTGTTTGATGCCTAGCTTCTTAAATGAAAACAGACCTGTTTAGGAAATTCAACTGTAAAGTTAATAAGCAAAATTTTATCGTTGAAATGGGAATTGTATTGACGGATAAAGAGAAAAAAATTAATGGTAACTGGTATCCGATATCCAAACCACCTTCGCGGTGGTGAATTCTTTCACTTTCACTTCGTAAATCATAAACGTGTTTGAGAAAAAATTCTGCCCTCTGCCATGAGGATAAAACAACCTCGTTCCCAGGGTTCTCTCCTACCCGCCCTACGGAGCGAGAGAGAGGGCGCTCCGTAAGGCAGGGAAGGAGAGAACCCTGGGAACGAGGTTGAGGATAAAAGTGAACAAACGTTGATGCGATTATTGTTATAAACAAAAGATTGTTCTTGTTGTTGTTGTTTCTTTTTTTTTTTTCAGTTACAATCCCACGTGGTTGAAATAGGAATTGCGATGGCGGATAAAAATGAAACTATCCGAATTCTGCAAGAGGTAAAAAGGTCTTCTTCAGAGTAGAGATGAAGTCTTTTGTAGAGGTGCTATCGGTTTTTAAGAATATTTCTAGGTTACCCTTTTTTAGGCAATTTCATCATTTACTAAACGATCTCAGAATTGACTGAAATGTTCAATAGCTGTTTCAAAGGTTAGAAGAACTTACAACTAATACAGACAACCTTAAAAGGAGCTCGGATGGGCACAACTCATGGTGATAGGCCATTTCCGAGTTCAAAAAACTCTCACTTCCTAAACAAGGCTAACTGCAAAACCTTTCTCGTGAAAATGAGTTTATTCGCGCGACAATAAAAAATCTTTTTCACACCAATGGCTTTGCACTTAGCCTCGCCATGAAACAGAGGTTTGGGGTAACATGGAGATGGTCTATTAAAACCGATTGCTTTCAGTTAAAGTTGAAAAAGTAAACAAACAAAACAAAGTAAAGCTAAATCAGCGGGCCGCTTTATTCAAGTTTATGTGGCGATAATTTAGATCAGTATAACCTACCCCTCCCCTAACTCAGTGGTAACACTAACTTCTCACAAAGGACCAAATGTTGGGTTAGGGGAGTCAATATGTGGGTGCCACTCTCCCATTCGATCATTTTGCCAAGTTTGCCAAGCTGCTTACAGTCAAACCAGGTGAAGCGTTCTCGTCGCTAACGAACTAATAAATTCATTAACGGAAAAATGATTTCGTTTGTTGATTCAATAATCCATTCATAAAATGAACAATCCAATATTCATATTTAGCCTCGATTCCATAATCGAATGTTGATTCGATTACTGTTTTTTGTAAAACTACACATTTTTTTCTTCTTTTTTTCTAAGAGTCGAGTGCGGACGAGTTCTGAAGTTCAAACCCAAACAAACTGTTACATGTACGCCGTTTTGCTTCCAGTAATCAGTGCAGCGGACCTGATCGCTTAGAAAACACGATAGTCAAACTGAGGTCATTGTATGTGCGGTGATTGGTGGATTTCGACCCCCGGCCTTTGTCAGTTTCTTTGCGTTTGCGGTCTGTCTCTTCTAGCTGTTATTTGGATTAAAGGCAATTAAAAACGCAATCGTAAACGGCAGGAAAAGGGAAGCAAATACGATTGAACTCAACGGACAAGAATAAAGAACAGGTAGATTTTGTTCATAAACCAAATTGAATCGAGGTCCAATTTGACTGTTGGATTATTCATTTTATGAATGGATTATTGAATCAACAAACGAAATCATTTTTTCATTAATGAATTCATTAGTTTGCTAGCGACGGGAACGCTTGACCTGGTTTGACTGTAACTGCTGGCATTTTTTGTTCACAGGAATGTAACAGGTTGAGCGAGGTATGAGATGTTTTATTATTACACCATTCGTACTTCCCTAATTTCTCCCTTACTTGTACTTCACAGGAGAATTTTAGGATCATTCAAGGCCGGTCCGGTTAAAAATAATATTCGACTTCAAACAGAAACAGACTTTTTTTGACGGACAAAAGCGATTAAAAAACGCAACGTTTGGACAAGATGATAAATTTTGTTTTGCGATTAAAAATGGCTACGTTTGAACGGGCCACAACCTACCTCTTAAAACGAATTGTTAAATTAGCAAACGAAACAATTTCATTTTTGTGTTGCAGCAATCGCTGTACAAAGTAGAATCGAATGCCAGAAAAATTGTTTTAACTGCTGATCTTCTTTTTTTCGCAGGAGTGTGAAAGGTTGAGAGAGGTAGGAGATGTTTTATTAGTTATAATAATAATAATAATAATTATAATAATAATAATTATCTTTAATTTATTGAGATAAGTTTTTCGTATAAAATATGGTTTTCAAAAAAGATCTCATAAAATTAAAAAAAATACAAGATGCACACAAGTTGAGAAGACGTCAAAAAGCTAAAATATATAAAAAATATTAAAATGTACACTGAGATATTAACTCAAATTCATTTAAATTAAAAATTTAAAAAGACTACGTTTTTAAAAATGTTCACATTCACGGATTGTCTGATTGCCTCTCTATGGGAATTAAAATCCTTGATGGCTTGAAATGCAGTCCGTTGTTCGCCCCAATTCCTTTTGACACTTGGAAGTCTGAAATTTAGCTTATTTCTGGTATTATAATCATGTTGTTCTTACTGTCTTATGAAGTTCATATCATGCTCATCAAATCCATTTAAACACTTATACACATAAATACATCTTCTCGGAAAACGCCTTTTTTCTAATGGAACCCACTTGAGAGTGGCAAGCGCATGCGTTGCATGAGTGCAGACGTCTCCTATTTCCTTTGTTGCTCGCGGAAAAGGGACCTTCTCCACGTGAAACAAAGGAAATAGGAGACGTCTGCACGCATGCAAGCGCATGCGTAGCAGATGAATAAAAAGCACTGTCTAAAATTATTTTAGCAGCCTTATTCTGCAAGACTTGCAAACTAGTCATTAAGGTTACGTTATGCTTGTCGCCCCAAACAAGGTCTGCATAATGAAATAGTTTTTATTATTCCATTTGTATGTGTAGTCAAATGGTGACGAGTGAAATTAGGGAATAATTTCACAGGCAAGGGAAATTATTAGGATTTGGACAAAACACAAGTGAAATTATTCCCTAATTTCACGAGTATACCATTTGATTATCCATTAATATCATGGGTGACGAATTACGTTCACAATCGTGGATTCTTGACATGTTTAACCTGGTTTTATCGATCGAGATTGAGAACTCCACGCTCTTAAAAGTGTAGAGAATAAATTTGGCTAAGTCCAGAATTTTCAGAATTTGTTCGACAAAATACCTGTGAGAATCATTCTTTTCATGTGTTTAGGTTTTCTAAAGCATCTTTTAATGCCCTGACATTTTGATTCAAAACATTTTAAAACGAAAGACGTACGGAAGGTTGCCATGGCAATTTTGTAATTTCAAATGTAAAATTATAATTTAACGCTGAAATTTCGCACCAAAATTAAGGAGCAATAGAGAGGAGAAGTCGTTACGTGACGTTGCCATGGTAGTTAAATTTCTGGGCCGGGTTGTTCGAAGCTGGGTTGAGATAACCCTGGGTTAGTGCAAATTTTGAACTCAGATATGAGAGCTTAAAAATCCAATTCAGTTGAATTCTCTTCGCTTGCAATTTGTTGATTGGATATGCTAAAAAAATAGAGAAAATTATCCGAGAGAGTGCTTTTGATAAAAAGAAAAAGAAACCCCGGTTCAAATTTAACCCTGGGTTAGCGCTAACCCGAGTTCGAACCTGGATGACAACAAACCAAAAACGTCACTTATCAAATCAACTATTTATTATGTAAGGATACATAAAAGGAAACGTCAGAGGTTATCCCTATCGAGGACGCTCCCTACATGAAATATAAAATAAATGTACTACGATGTCAATTTTAAGAATAATTAAGAAATGGCTAAAAAAAATACTTAATTTTACAATACTTAAAAACTGATTTCACACTGTTTCAAAAGTCATCGATCTTATTCAATTTTATTTACTTTGTCAAATTTTGGCGAACGTTTCTAGGGTTGAATCCGAAAGAATCGTATCTAAGTTTAGAAAAAGGAAAAGGAAATTTTGTGTTGTGTTTATCTACTCCAAAAAGCAAGCAACATATTGAATGTCTGTTAGTATATATATTTTTCTGGCTGATAAAAATAAACTGAAACTGTAATCTGTTCTGTTGTTGGTGTCCTGCAGAGAGTTCCAGTCCCCATTCCTGAAGACGATGACTAAACGATTATGAATCATGAACGACTAAACCAACAATCAAGTATGTTTAATTAAAAGAAAGGACTTCGCACTCAACTTCATACCCAGGGCTCTCTCCTACCCGCCCTACGGAGCGAGAAAGGCCTGGTAGGAGAGAACCCTGGGAACGAGGTTGATGTGCACTGTAATAAATGAGAAATTTAATATCCCGTTTCATTAGCTGCCTTTCATTAAAGATGGTGACATTCCAATGGTTTGCTTAGACCATAGTCAAACTGGAATGGTTATGAGACCCGTTAGACTCCTTTGTTATATGTTTTTGTTTGCTTTTTTGAACCTGACTGTGCACAACGTTCAATAGCATTCCTATTATTTTGAACTTACTGACCAATAGGATTCCGCACAGTCAGGGAGCTTCCAACGTAACTGCAGCACCGTTGTTCACAGGGTCCAGAGGAGTTTCGTGTGATCATGAATAAATGAATTACTTATTTAAAGTCTCACCTTGAAAAATGTCTATACCTGTCGCTTAGCACGATTAATTAGCCCAATGGGATCTTTATAAATCTACTGTAAACGATTTCTTCGCTTCTTATCTGACCCACATCGACTTTTGAAAATCAATAACTGCAAGCCATATCATCGCTGGCGCACGGTACGTCGCCCGAAGGGTGACCGAAGGCTGTCGCCTGAAGGGCGACCGAGGCACGAAGTGCCGAGGTAAGCCGATCTTGCGAGCCCTCAGTCTCTTGGTTTGCGGTCTACAGAATGTGTAACGAAACTGTAACGCGATCAAAATAACCCATTTTTTCAGAGGTTTTCGACGGATTTTGATGTTTTAACGACAAACACATCTCCTCTGGACCCTGTGCGTTGTTTTCAACTTTGATGTTTGCCGGCTTTCATAACCAGTCTCTTCTACTAACTTTGCTTAGACATTGTTTCAAACGACCAAAATATCCAATACTTTCTTTTTTCTTTTTTTTTTTTGATACAAGAACCCAATTTAATAAGAACGTTCCGCCTGAAATTTGCCAAAATATTAAGAACATGCTAAGAACATACCCGAGGCTCAGAGAAGAACAATTTATTTTTTAATGGTTTTACTTTCCTAAATCCAGAAAAGCTGAATTTCTGTATGTGACGTATGTCCTTCATAAAGTCAGGGTGCGTGTAAAAGTTATTTCTCTCAACACATTCATATTGTGTATGGTCAATAATACATTTCCATTGTACTTTTATAATTCGTTGATATGAAAACTATAGACGTTGTCTTATCTTGTCTATATGTAGCTTAAAAGTTATCAGATTTCCTTTATTGAAATTTAAGAACATCCGTAAGAACATTTCCAGGCTGAAACTGCCCAGAAAACAAGAACGGTCGAGGCTCAATTCGAAAAATGGACGTTCTTATAAAAGAAGAGTGTATACAGCCACGTGAAAGTTAGAAGGTGTGTGATCAATACGCGGTAAAAAGGGGCTTCCCTGGAAAGACCAGTTCAGGGCCCATTTGGCAATCAACAGTTAATTAAGACGGCAGGAAGAACATGTAAACATGTATATGCGATTAGGATACCGTGTTTTTAATTTTGTCATTGAAATTACTCTTTGTATTCGTAAGGTGTCGCATTCCAAAGAGCAGGATAATATAAACAGAAGATTGAAGTCCCAGAAAGTTTCTGTTATGTCACATGATGAATTCAAAGTTCTCAGAATCAAGTCAAAGAGCTGCCAGAAAAGGCGTTTGGTACTGTAGAATGCTATGTTATTGCTTTCATGATTACTGAGTCTCATGCCTATACAGTTTTGTTATGGTGAACTGTGGCAACAGGCCTTGTTCAAATGTAAGTCTGTTATTGCCCCCAATGTATTTCAGGTGACTAATTGTATAAGAAAGTGGCTGGAAGGAGAGGTTCGGCTGCATAATATTTGTGCTTGCATGCACTCTTTTAGGGCCTATTTACATGAAGGTGGGGGACCCCAGGTAGGTGAGGTAACATGTGTCAAGTTACCCCTCCTAACATGTAAACGTGATCACATTAAAATGAGAAATTATTTGGACAGGCGGGTTACCCTACCTAAGCGAGTTACCTCACCTACCTGGGATCCCCCACCTTCATGTAAACAGGCCCTTATTTCAAAAACCTCTGGAAAATGTCGCGTGATCTACAACGGGGCAACTGCAAAACACTGAAGTGAATAAGGTTTATTGCAGAACTACCATGATAATGGCAAAAGTGTAGAATTTTGTTGTTTTAGGACAGAAACGGCGATGCTTCGTCGTTCCATTGGGAAGTCACTTTTTTGTGTCTGCCGTTATCAACTCAAATAATTAAACAAAACATTTTTGAGTTTCGTTTTAGGACAGTGTAGGTGTCATACCTAGGTAATTGAACAGAGGCCACTGCAGTTTTTATATTTACTTGAGTTTACAATTCACCGATATCTCTTTTTGTTTAACAAAACATCACTAGAGTTCCAGTTCCCATTGACGATCACTGCATTGAGGGTAAAAGACAAAATTACTAATTAACCAGTGGCCTATCAAATACTGTTCGGGGTAGTGTAAAATTATGGACGTTTTGCTGATGGCGTATCATAAATGTACAGTTAAGTATGTATATTCTTGTGAATAAGCCAATAGACGAAAAACCTGTATTAGTCTAATTCGTCTCTAATATGTCTAGTTATAGATACTTCATTAAGAAGAAGGAGTCTTTTGCCTTGTTTTATTACAAATAGTTACTGCTTTTACCTTATACAATGTATAGAAAACTGTTTTGTACTCCATTTCCCAGTTTTCGGAAGACTAATTCGCTAACCCGGGGTAAAATTTTAATCAGCGTTGCCGTTTCTTTATTTTCTTTAGTTTCTTTAGCAAACATCAAATAATTTGTAGGCAAAGGGAGCTGACAGATATTTGCTTTGTCAGCATTTAACGTGTTCGCCGTAGGGCAAAAGACTATTCAGTAGTGTACGTATACTATATAATCAGGTTAGTCAATAGACTTGTAAAGTCAATTTGTGTCAATATTGTTTATTTGCACCAAGTGCAGTTATGGTAATTAAATTTTAACAGTCACATATCGGAAACTAATTAGGACGAACCATACTTGAATCAAAGTTTGAAAATGTTGTTATATAATTTTAGGTGGTTATAGATTTAGAACTATTTTCTACATATAAGAAGAAGTTTATAAAGAAGATTTGTAAATAAAAGGAAATTATTATTATTATTATTATTATTATTATTATTATTATTATTATTATTATTATTATTATTTGGGTGTCGCCCAAATAGAGTAATCGAGTATAGAAAACTGTTTTGTACTCCATTTCCCAGTTTTCGGAAAGCTAACTCGCTAACCCGTCGCAGTTTCTTTATTTTCTTTAGTTTCTTTAGCAAACATCAAATAATTTGTAGGCAAAGGGAATTGTAAGCATTTAACGTATTGGCCGTAGGGCAAAAAACTATTCAGTAGTGTACGTATGTTACATAATCAGGTTAGTCAATAGACTTGTAAAGTCAGTTTGTGTCAATATTGTTTATTTGCACCAAGTGTAATGTAGTCATAGTAATTAAATTTTAACACTCAGATATCTGAGACTAATTAGGACGAACCATAATTGAATCAAAGTTTGAAAATGTTGTTACATAATTTTAGGTGTTTATAGATTTAGAACTATTTTGTGTATGTGAGAAGAGTTTTATAAAGAGGATTTGGAAATA